AGGTATTGGGGCCTTACGCAACCAGTGGCTCAGCTCAGCCACAATTCATCCCAAGCATTCTTGCCTCCAAGACCCTTTAGTCTGCATTCTGAGCACAACCAGAGCTCCTGGCCTCTGAGAGGGGGATCAGGGAGCCCTGGGCACTATCCTGACCATGAAGCACCTGAATGAAGCAGCATGGGGTCTGAAAGGCAGGACCGACTAGAATATATTATTAGGATCCACTCAGACCACAATCTCAACGCTGTGTAAACTCACAGAAACAGCTCAAATGCCAGAGACAAGATTTTAACATCCAAAGTTAAAAGATAAAAATGGTAAATTCAGAAGCGGACTAAAGGCTTGTCACTCGGCGGCATAGTTGTCTCTGCCATCTTCTGTCTACTCATTCTGCCCACATTCCTGGTGTCTGGGAGCTCAGTGCATTGCCCAACATCAACACTCTCTCTTGCAAGGGTGCCCAGCATGGACCATGCCCACCAGGGACTAGAACACTCACCTAGGCGGTGGTTTCCATGTGCTGACCACCCTCTATGACCTCTACAGTTATTAACTCACGGGGCCCCAGAGCACCCCTCTGAAGGAAATGCTATTATTATCAACTCCACTTTGTAGTCAGGAAACCTGGGTCTGGAGAGGTTAAGTCCAAGAGTCCGGAGGAGGCAGAGTGACGGCTGAACAAGCTCAGGACTGGCAGGTTCTTTCTGAAGCCACCCAGAACTTACTGCTGGAGGCCAGCCCTCCAGTGCCACCTGCATCACACACCTGCCCTGGTCCCCTTGTCCTCCCCACTAGGAGCATTTGCATAAACTAAGGATCTTGCATCCAGCAGGGCTTTTACCATGATGCCCCCCCTCCCCTCCCAGGGTATGCCTAACAAATGGATATGCTGGAAACATAAATAGAGCAGAGCAGGGGAAATTCAGAAGTTCTTGGAATTTGGTTTCCTTTTAACTAAACTTAGAGTCTCTTTGCATGCAAATAGGAAAGCAGGGCAGAGGGAGAAGGCAGTATGGGGACTCCAAGCCTCCCTGGGCCACTCTCTGGTTCCTGGAGAGAGTGGCACCTCTGACCCAGAGCTGGGATGTTACAATTCAGCGGGAGTGGGAGAGTTCATTGTCTGGATGAGGCTACCTTCCCATTTCCTTTCAGATGATCTTTCAGGGGATGTACAGAACGGTTCTCCAGTAGGGAACTGAGTTAGTTAATTGTGCCAGCCTGGCCGATAATCACATGTGGGGCTAATTGAAGGGCAGAGGTATAAATGGGTGGTGAGCCTCGCCTTTCTTGTTCTCAGGTCTCTTGCTTTGTGATGGTCGCACCAGGGTGCAGCTGCCTTAGCAGTTCCCTGCTTTGGCTTGCAAGATTGACTTCATATATCCCCAAGGACAAGATATCCCCAAGGAGAAGCTGCATGGACATATCCCGATGCAGCCCTGGGTGCTGGAGCAGCCGTGTGGAGACCCCTGCTAGTGCTGAGATGCTTATTTGTTCACTGACTCAGCTTTCCTCCTGCAGTCGGCATCATTGCCTCTGTTTGTGAGGTGGAGGACTTTGTGGGCTAATATCTGACTTACGGACTTGGTCTGGACTGGGCTGGGATGTTTTCTCAGTGTTCACTTGCTCTTGTATATACATCTCTTTCTTATACGCACATGTGTGTCCATGGATTGGTTTCTCTAGTCTACCCAGACTAACACACAAGGTGACCCTGGAGTCCTGGGGCATGGATGAGCCTGTACGCAAAACCATATCTACATACCTGCTCAGGTATCCAGTCCAGAGTGTCACTAATCAGACCCCTGGTTAGCACCCACTCCAACCCTGCAGTGGTTACCTCAGGAGGGTCTCAAGTACCTGGGAGGTTGGCAGGTAGCACGGGTAGACGTGGAATGGACATCATGCACTGCTCTCAGGTAGCAAGGGGACTTCACAAGTTTTGTGGGAAAGATCTGTTGTCGTTTCATTCTAGTTTTCCATGAACTTCTGTAGTTAGTCCTTTCATCTTTTAATATGTAAATCAGTTCATGTCACCCCTCAGTGGCTTACAGTGATCCTTGGGATTAGATGCCAATACCTGCTGGCCTATAAATCTGTGTCTCCCATCTCATCTCAAGGAGCCACCTCCACCCCCATGACTACTCTCCAGCCCTTTCACTTTTTGCCTCAAGACACTGGCACATATAGTTTGCTTTTCTTGGGGCTTTCTCCCAGGACACGCTCATTCCAAGCAGAGAACGTTTCCGTGTACAGGTCAGTCCTCCACCTCCAAGGTCATCAGTGGCATCATTAAGGTGCTTCAGACCACACCAGGTGACACTTCAGAGAGGAGGAACCCCAGAATGCTGGTCTATACAATTTTTTTTTTTTTTGGTTTATTTAAATCATTTTATTGGGTCT